ACTTGAAACATTAATTTGACTCTTGTAAACATGTAACATGCATAAAGTTAAATAAACTTAACGAATGTTGAAAGCAATTACCTCCGTCTAAGAATGAGTTATACCCGCACAAACTATGACTCTCATTCAATACATAACATGGTAACCACATTCAAATGAGTTTGTTTGCTTATTACACTCGAAATGATGAATAAAACATAATGTTATTTTTCAAAATTGAAATACAAACAATAATTATGGTATTCACTTATATAAATAAGTTTCTAACCTTAGGATAAATGAACTGTAAAGTATTTGTTCTAGGTTTTCCACTTAAAATATTAGTTTTAGACACGATTCTAAGTGAAAAAAAGTCATATATTATTTAATATATATTTACAATTTAAAAACATAATTAATGAATAAAAGATAAAGTTACCCTTGTAACAAGTTTTTCATTTCTTGACTCGATTTTCGATGTAATGAAGTAAATCACACTACGAGTGTAATCTCGGGGCATGATTACAATTAACTGTCAATGAGACATACATTATATGACATAAAAATTAGTTATAAAAATATAAATTAAAATATTAACCCTTCAATGTATGAAGCCAAATATATATATATCTTTTTTAGTCACTCATCCATGTTTGCATATATTGTTGGATTCCAACTTTTGTATTTCCGGATTTTTGGATGGATTAACTTTCTTGAGATTAAAGTTGTTGATAATCTTGTAAAACTACATCCTATGTACAATTGTTGCGCAAAATCAAATTTCAAAGAATCATATAGATGTGCTTTCATAAAATTTTCTTCACCAATATCACGTATTATATCATCTAGATTATCATTCATCCCTTCGTCAGACAATAGTTGACATAGTTGGGATGTCTAATATTTCTCTATGTCATATCCATATTGTATAAATCTTAATAATATCATAAACAAACAAGTGATCACATATATCCTCAAGTTTATGACGAATTTGATTCAAACAACGAACACATGGACAATAATATGTCCCTTTCATAGCTTTTCTATTTTCACTAACAAATTTCAAAAATTCATCAACTCCATTTTCGTACTCTTCACTAATACAACGTGTATTCATTCAATTTCTATTGATATTATGTTATAAATTTTTGTCGCTCTTAAAGATTCAAAATGTATATTTAAAAAGAAATTAATATACAAATAACAAAACACGTAAATGGAGTGTGTAAACCGAAATTGCACTCAAGCAAATAAATAGATAACGACATTCCAATAACAATCTAGTGGAGACATTCATACAATAACGTGATTGAGATCCAAAAAAACAATTATGGATTCAATTTAAACATATATAAGAAGACATAGAACACTAACCTCGAGTATACACGAAAACAATTTCAAACTCGAATCCAATCGGGGAAAAATGTCAAATTCGTAAAACGAGACACAATGTTGATGTTTTTCACTGTCAAAATGATAAAAAATGGTGTGAAAAGGTAGTTGTCATCGTCCTCATCATCGTTCTCAAAAACTCTTGTTGCGTGAGACGAGAGAACAGGTCTGGAAGAGAATAAAAGACACTTTTTACGTCTCACTTCCTAGGAGGTGAAGTAAAAAGCCCTCTTTTACATCGTGTCACCCAGGTGTGATGTAAAATAGGCTTTTTACATCACTTCCTAGGATACGTGACGTAAAAGTTTCGCCTCTTATTTACAAAATTGTCATCGCATTTATTTACGTCAAATATTTTTTCATGCGACTACAGTTGAGTGATGTAAAAGCTCTTTTTGCACTAGCCAATAAAAAAATATGATAAAATAAAGAATAAGAGAATAATGATATCTTATATAAAAAAGAAAATATTTATTTATATCACTTGTAAGATGAATCTAATGCAAAATCTCTTAAAAAAAACATTTAAAGGATTTTGACTACAAAGAAGATTCAAAAAATTATTTTACCAAAGTTTTAAATTGAGTATATACATCCAAAAAACTCTTAATCAAAGTATTTCGTAAATAAATAACTAGATAATATAAAACTTGTTCATTTTCAAGAAAGTCTGATTTTAAATTTAAAAATATGATAATATATAATCATATAAAATTTGTAAGATTTGTAATAACGATGATAATTAATTAAATAAAAACATTTTAAATAAATAAATAAAAAAACATAAAAGAATTGTTAGGAATACTCATACATCAGTCATGAGCTAATCTCATTGAAGTAATACCAACTAATTAAAAAGCATTAATTGCAAAATAAGTTGACTATATGCACATAATCAATTTCATATGTATGACAGGCACAATTAACGTTACTGAATAGTAAAGAAAAGCATAAAGATAAATAAATGTTGACGACGGAATAATGCCAGAAAGTTACGTGCTAGGAACATCATCCTCAGGAGGGGCACTGCGAATAAAATGTAATACCACCAAAACACAGTAACTACTGGTGTCGGTGAGTATTGGTCGCGTATGCAACTTTATTTGTCGTCACGTTTCATGAAAAATTGATTCCTATGCATGATTTTGCCTCACATGACCAGAGACCCCATCTCAACCGAAAAGGAACAAAGGAAAAAAAATATATATGTATATTGCCATGTGGGGTACCTCTGAAAGGTTTTCCCTTGTGGCTAGTTAGATTCTACCACTTACCCTTACGTCAAACATTCCCACATGCAGTAACTAACGTTCTCACACACAAAGTCACAAATGCAGAAAAGAAGAGAAACAAATTCACCTCCTTCGTCTCTATTATATCTACTCATTGTTAATGAGACATTGAATAACCCAAAACTTTTAAAGTCTTTGGATTTAGTCTTGTGGGGGACAAGTGAAAATAATTTAATATTTTTTTGAAGAGTTAGAAACTTTTCTAACTGTAAAACCTTAATTAAAACATGTTAACTATGTCTGGATTCCTTTATTTCCTACATTATTATTATTATTATTATTATTTTTATCTTTATTTTTATTTTTTTTTTCCGTAAAAGAATAGTTTGACATTCTAAAAGCCTGATTATTTCCATGCTAATTGGAGTTCTGTCAAAGTGAAAGAAAGTATCATCCATTGAACGTGTCTTGTGCTATACGTGTAAAAAAAAGTTTCAACTGTTAATTTTTTACACCACATGCGCTTTTATGTTTGCCAAGCACACCCTTAATTGTTGTAATTAATAATAGGTTGAGATCTTCTACTATTGAACAAGACAAAACTTAGAAATTATATCATAAACTTTCAATTTTAAGATAAAACTTCACATTTATGAATAACACCGATCCAAATTTTCTATTTTTGTCTGGAGAACCTGTTTATGATTTCAAGCTTTCCTCTCGGAAGTAGTTTTAATAAAAATATACAAATTTAATTTACCAACTTCGTACCTTTAGTAGAAATTTGTCTCCTGATAATTATTACTATAATTTATTTCCAAAGTTAATTAAGGGTACTTTTACTGTTTTAGGAAAAAAAAGGTTTAAATAAAATTTATGAATTTATTATAAGGATTATATAGTAAATTGATTCAGAACAATTATGAGTTATAATTTATTATAATTATATAAGAGAATATCGGTTTTATGAATAAAAAAAATTTAAGGTTATAGATTTATATATATATTTCTCATTTAAATTTAATTTTCTCAATTTTAATATAGTTCTAATTCATATTTAAATTTCATTATCTTTTTTAAATATCATCTTTACACATTCAAATACTTTCTCCTTTAATTTATCTATTTATTTTGTACTGGATTATCCAAATACTATTATTAAAAAATTTTAAGAAAATTATTACTTAATCGGTGTTCAGTTATGAAATATAAAAATAATCATATAAAAAAATTATAATTTCATATTTAATCTAAAATCTTAAACCTTTGTTTATTTATAAATTATTAACTTTACGCTATACTTCATTTATTTATGAACTTCAACCAATATAAATACTTAACAATTTTTTATGAATTATTAAGTCTAGACATGGAGATGCATCATGCATTAGTTGAAAACCTACTTATTGATTCGGATCCTCTGGCTATAAAATAACAGTCATCCAAAGTCCTATGCACACAAAGACAATTATCATTTGATATAATTAAATATTATTTGTCTACATGTAACGCCCACTAAGCAAAACCAAGATTATCATCCCAGTGGACCCAACATCACATAATTGGTACCCCATTCATCCAGTCAAGTGTTCAAGTCCAATTAATTGAATAAAAATTCTTCTAATCACACAACTTAACAAGTCTCTTAATTTGTAAAAAAAAAATATAATATAAATGTTGATACATTCTTTTAGCACATTTTGTATTGAATTTCAAGCAATTTTACACGAATGTTTAGGTAGGACAAAATTGTTCAGTTCTGCATCAGAAAACCATGCCGGAGCAACATTGCTTTTAGGTAGTCATATTTTTTAAGCACACCAAAATTAAGGGTGTGTTTGTCTGGTCTTTTGCGACGGTACAAGTTGTAACCATGAGGAATCAAATTTCCTTATGCGTCCTCCTCCTCCATTACACGTAAGCAAGCTCTGGACAAAACAGTAAAGAAAATACAACTCGAATCCATACGTACACGGCACTTTGAACTCTTAGAGGAAGGACGATATATATTACATGCAGCAAGCTTAGTCATTCACTCTCATGTGATGCGGGAGTGAGACTATTAATGACTTTTGGAGTGCCTTGGTAAGAGTGAGGTTAGATCACAGGGAATCAAATCAATGCTAAAAAACAAGAGGCTCTTCTCTTCCTTAACACCCTAATCATTCAACCCCACCTAATTTACCTTTGCTTTTCCTTGCCCTGGGATAACACAGTTATCATCCAGGAAGAGAGAAAATAAAAAAAAGGGAAAAGAAAAGTGACCAACTACTGTCTCTACTCTCACCCAACTTTTGATCTCTCTCTCACTCTCAATTGCTTTACAAAGGGATCCCAATGTTGCACCCCACCAACCTCCATTGCTTGAGGTAGAAGCCTCTTATCCACTAACCACCTATGACCCATTGGAGTACTGATTGCCAGGTAGAAAGAGAGGTAGAAAAAGAAGATAAATTGGGGATGGAAGTGGGAAAAAGGAGGGTAGGGGCTAGAGGGAGTGTTGTTGCAGGGTCAGTGTGGGAGAGCAGGATGAAGAGTGATGAAGTGAGAGGGGGGATCAAGGTGTACAACGCAGAAGAAAATCCTGAAGAAAATGGTGGTGGTGCCAGATTGAAAAAAAGCCCAATTGGATGTGGAAAGAGGAAAACTTGGAAATCTGAGAGCTCTGAGGGGTCAGATAATAAGATCCCAATTCAGGTGGCAAGAGGGAAGACAGAGACCCTGAGGAGTTCGGGGGAGCAGGGTAAGGAGCAGCGCAATTTTTCCTCTGATGGAATCAAGAAGAGCCCAATTCACACCAGAAAGATGAGATCTGAGATACAGAAGGGTGGTGAATCGGATGGGGGGCATGAGACGAGTTCAGCACAATTGAGGAAGAGCAAGTCAGATTCAATAAAGAAAAATGCTTCTCCTGGTGGTAGTTCAATTCAATTGAGGAAGACGAAATCCGAGTTGGATCGAGTTGCTGATGAACCAACGGATGAAAAGATTGAGGTTGAAAGTGGGAAGAACGACGCTGACGATGATAATTGCATGGATTTGGATGATGTGTGCCAAGAGAAGGCCATATCTAGCAGCTCAGAGAATGTGGTCCAATGTTCAACAGAATTGTCGGTTCAAGTTGGCGGTGCTTCAGATGAAGTTGCAGTTGATGAAGCAGATGAAGGAGATGAAGGAGAGGAGGTGGGGGAAGAGATTGAGATTGAGATGGAGGAGAGAATTGATGTGAAGGAAATTAGTATTGCAGAAACTAAGATTGTCAAGGAGCCAGAAAAAAATGAGGCTGTTGGGGATGAACAGGACAAGAAGGTTGTTGTGAATGAACCGGAAAAGAAGGTGGTTGTGAATGAACCAGAACCAAAGAAGATTCTGAAGGAACCAGAACATAAGAAGATTCCGAATGAACCAGAACCTAAGAGGATTGTGAGTGCCCACATGCGATTTCATCACAAAAATGAAAGAAAGGCAATTTCTGTTCCTCTTGGTCTGAAGCAATCTCCTACAGTTAGAAGGAATTCCACAGTTCACCAAAATTTCTCCCAAGCTAATTCAAGTAAAGAATTTTGAGTTTGTTCTTTCAATTTGTGTCATTAGCTTTGTGTTTATCATAATTGATTTTTGTGGTCTAGTTCCAAAGGCGGAAGAATATCGCAGCTTTCCACAAACCCAAAGCAAAATGCAGAGTCTAGGTGATTCATCGTCTACACTTAATTGTGCCATAGTGTGAAATTTATTGGCTAAAGTTTATTCACATAATATCATTGATTCTTTATGTATCTTACTCGCCTCCTCAGTGGATTTAATCATGTGGAGAGACGTTTCAAGATCAGCATTTGTTTTTGGATTTGGGACATTCATCATAGTCTCATCTTCTTATGCAAAGGATATCAATCTGAGGTTAGAAATGAGTTAAATAGAGTTTTTTATACCATCAATATATAAATTTCTGTTTCAGAACAGAGCCCGGAACTGAAGCTTTCTTTTCATTGTTTCTACAGTCTTATTTCAGTGACGTCCTATATGAGCCTTGTTTATCTGGCAGTTATCTTCCTATATAGATCCCTAATTTGCAGGTAATAACTCAAACGCTGCGGTGAAAAACATATTACAATTACAATTTACATGATCACAATGTTTTCTGATTCTCTTTTGGAATTAAACTTATCAGGGGTGTCATAGAAGTTAAGGACTCAAATTATGTAGTGGGAGAAGAAGATGCAATTTGGATGCTAAAATTGATCCTTCCTTACTTGAACGAGTTTCTGGCAAAACTCAACGCCCTGTTTTCTGGAGATCCGGGTACCACAATAAAGGTAACTTAATAGTTTTCTTTGCTCACTGGTTTTATGATTATCTTCTTAATAACATTAGAAAATTATTGCAGCCTAGAAGATTGAACACAGAAATTTTAATTTGGCATTTGTGTGTCAATTGCAGTTGGCAGTTTTGCTCTTTGTTTTGGCCAGATGTGGCAGCTACATAACCATTTGGAAGATGGCCAAATTGGGTACGTTTTTAAAGGTTTAAATAAAAATCTAACTATTCACACTTTACATTTCTTACTCCTTGCATAACTAAGGGAGTGAAAAAATTGCATCTTTCTCCCCTACCCCTTCATTTTATTACTATTATTATTGGGTTATTCAGTTATTGAACGTGCCCTTTGACTTTGTTGATTTCTGACACATGGTTGTGGTCATCTGCCACAGGCTTCTTTGGAGTTTTTACTGTACCAAAGATATGTTCTTCGTATTCTGCACAGTTAACTGCGTATGGTAATTTCCTGAAACTGATGTTTCTTTTTTCTAACATTATTTAATGCCTGATTTATGACTCTATATCTTTAAGCTGCTGAAAACAAACACAATACAGTTACAGTGGGTAGAGGCTGCTAGGTGCTAAAATGAGATAACAATGTTTGAATTGTCTCTCTACTCGTCAGTGTAGACGGTGCGGCGCTTCATTTGGCCCACAACATCTTTTGCGTACACACACACACACACCTTTGTTTATTTCATTATATAGTGGGTGGTGTCTTGAATGCATCATAATGTAGATCTGGTGGGGCATAAATAAGCAAAGAATCATATTAGTTTAATATAGTGCAATTATACCATCTAAACCATATCAACAAAGTTAAAAACTCTAACTCTAACTCTAAATCTGCTTCAAGATAATTTTGTCTCTTTGAAGATTTAGTGTGCTTGATATGTGGTCATCAAAGCATCATTCGATGCATCACATGGATGAGTATCTCTGATCCTATTATATTTTCTATTCCTGACATTTTTAAGCCCATTGGGAGTCCTTTTGTGTCTGACAATTAGACTCAACTTTGGAATAATGAAAAGAAACAAAGTCACGATATGGATATTAACATAATGGTTCTCCAAATTAGTGGTCCCCGATCCCAAAGATCAAACCTTAAAATATTGTGTCTCTTCACGTGTTATGGTGTCCAAGAAGACTAAAACCCAAGCCTTCTCTGCATGAACCTCACTCTGCTGTTATTCTAATAAATGGTACTTCTTTTTTGTAATGACACGAAGGAAATTTTTGGATTCGTCGATTCCGTGATGCTTGGGATTCATGCACCCACAAGAAAGCCGTGGCTCTTGGCATCTTTGGGCTTGTCTGGAATTTATCATCAGTTGTTGCTCGCATTTGGGCAGGTAAAAAACAACGTTGCAACATCAATTGTTTTGTTTGATTTTTGCAATGTGGTAACTTCAACTTCACATATTAATGGATTGTAGTTGTGTTATTTGTAGTGTTCGTGCTATTTGTGGCATTCAGATACTATCAACAGCATTATTTTGTGAGAGATGAATGGGGGGAAGATGAAGCAGGATGTGATGAAACATGGCAAGAACCTCTTGGAGTTAGACAGAAACAAGGACCTGCAACCAACTTTAGTGATACAAATAAAGTAAAGAAAGTTTTCTGAAAGGGCGTGTTGATGGTGGCAACTAGTGGTACCACATTAACAGGCTTGTTCAGTTGTTTGCAATGTCCCATTTTCCCTTTAAAAGCTTTTTCTTTTTTCTTTTTACTTTCATATTTTAATTTAAAAGTTTCCTTTATAATATGTAAATTTTTGTTCTGTTAATATAAAGCTTAAATGAGTAAACACATCCATCAGGGTTCAATAGGAAAAGGGAATAATAGCTAGGACTACTGTAATTAGCATTCAGTTATAATTCATTTTCGTTCTGGTGCAAATTCTCAAATTTGGTAATGTGTTATGTGTATGTCTTAGTATTATTTTATGAATTTAAATATAAATGCAACTTAATGGTAATTTTTAAGATGCAATTTTCCATGTCGATGGTTATAGGTTTGAGCAGAACTAAATACATTATATAGCCTCTCAGAGCTTAAGCACTAAGATTAACAGTAAATTAATATTAAAAAAAATAACAAAAGCACACAAAATAATTGGGTAAATATGTTGTATATTTTAGATTTGTTCGCAAACAATACACAAATATGTTTACCAATTTATTCTCAAACATAAGACTTTGTCTTGTGACATCAGTCTAAAAGATATTTACAAAACAAATTACTTATAATAATAACATGTAGTCTTTTTTTCACTTATTTTATCTAATACAAAATTTATTTTTTACTTCAGTTAACTATTTGATGTGAAATATCGAATTGGTGATAATTTTGTAATTTGTAATATATATAGATATTTTAATTTGCATCTCTTTGTTCACTCATTTTTCACTACTCCCAGGAAAACCCTAAAACTTTCATGAGAAAACCCTGCATCTTTCTCCATTGTTCGTTATCCACTGCTGCGCCAAAGTTGTGGTCATCGTCCCACTATCGCGCCACTATTCGCCACCCTCTTCTTCTCCACTTCCACATTTGTCTTTGTTGCTACTATCTTGAGGCTTTGCTTCCCTGTAACTTCTTCATTTCCATTGTCGTAGCTCGTGAATGTTGAAATCCAATGGCCTTCTTCATATTTCCTTATTCTTTGCATTCATTATATTAGTAATTTTAACATCATATATATTTTTCCAAGTTTTGCGTGGAATTGATAATTGAGTTGAGTTCATAACATGTTTCAAACCTACAATAAGGGGTTCAGTGAACAACATTTCCAATGCATAGAATTGGTAATTGAGATCAATAGAGGTATTTGGGTCATAATTATTGTCCCAAGTTTTTTTTTTTTTGTTATTAAGGAATAATTATGGTATTTTCCCAAAAAGGAAATCCTAAAGGGGAATCATATATTGATAAGGAAGATATGAAGAAAAAAAAGATAACGAATTGTTCAAATGGAAACAAAGGCAAGAACGATAAAAGATAGGTGTATTAGTTATATCTTCATATTATTAATTTAGAATTTAAGACACAAAGTATTAATTTAGAAATTAGGAAAGAAATTTTTATTAACTTATAATTTAGGAAATAATTTATTATTAATTTCCAAATTAGCAAATAAACTTTTTAATTTAGAATTTATCGAACTTATTAATTATTGAAGAATTTAGCAAACAAACTTATTAAATTAAAACTAAGTTAAACATAGAAATATAATATAAATAGATTTTATTATTTTATTTAGTTAAGTTTAATAATTTAAAACCATTTAAATATAGGCTATGTTTAAAAGTTACATTGAAGTATGGGCTGTTATTGCATGGTTGTAAATGGTTGTGTCTTTGTTATGGTATATGAAAAAAATAGAAAAAATAAAGGAAATTCAAATAAACTTTCATTAGAAAAAATTGACATTTATATAAGATTATTTTCATTATGATTAACCTGATATTAATCTTAATATATGATTATTACTATGATACTTATGTATATGAGTTGAAAGGAGGTTGTTTGGATTAAGGAAAATATGATTAAGTGTAGGGAAATGAGAGAAAAGGTTGTAAGTAATTTGATTTATGTGAATGACGAAAAAAATACTATAATAAAAATACTCTAGTAATAATAAAGGTTATATATATTACATGGATTCCACGGTTATTTCTTCACGTATAACTTCAAATTCATATATGCAAACACAAAAAATCAATACAAATTTATGTCCATATCTTTCTATTAACACCAAATCTCTAAAAATAAATAAGATTAAATTATCTTTGGCAAGTAACACATTGTAAGATTTGTTAGGCTTCGAGTAGATATATTGGACCACTTACAACCCGTCAAGTCAAAGGTTGTGAGGAGATTAATATATCATCTTGTGTCTACTCGCTCTCCCATGAATCTAAGTTTTAAGAATATTGACTAACATAAATTATCATTCGAACGTCTTAAGTCAATAAGATTTTCTTGACTTTTCGATTAATAATTTGCATAATATTAATAAGTGGTTCATTTTGCTCATAAGTATCACTTTCATGCTAACCTTGATTATTCACCACCTGTAAATCCTTTGACTATGATATTGATACCACTTAGACATTAGGTGAAAAAATTAGTTCTCTCTAGTCTTGTTGATCTAACACCACTTCCTTAATAACCTCTTTATCCTCGTCCCAATTCACTTCACAACTCCAACTTGAATTAAATTAAGATAGTTTTAAATGAAGCAAGTGAGAGAACCATATTAAATAAGTTCCTTAACTATATCTTTGATCAAATTACATTGGTCAATAATATCACTCATTATTTTAATAAAAATAACAATATTTAGTATGTTTACATTTATTAGAAAAGATAAAAATATTAAAACATGCATTAGTTATAAATTAAAGATTTTTTAAAATTATAACATTAAAGGGGATATATTGTTCAAATTTATTGATTATTATTATTATTATTATTTATTTATTTAACACATATATGACCAACTCATAGAAGAAGATTTTCACAAACATCAATTTTATGAGTATGTTAACGAAAATTAGGTATATATTATTGTATTATTGCACACGGATAATATATATAGAATTCAATGTTTCAGTGGTTAGTATATGAATGTGGCGTTGGAGTCTTAAATTCAAGTCTAACTTTCCTCTAAAAACTTGGGGGCAGTGTGCAATGTTTGGGTAGCATATCTCTCTTAGAAAAACACTTATCTCAAATTAACACTTATAATTGCCTCCAATGCAAACCAAACATTTATGAATCAGGGTCAACTATGTATCAATCTCCCCGTCGATCCAATATTTGCAGTAGAGGTTCCACGCAACACCTATGAGGAACCTATCAGTCTCGAGTAATTTTTTTGTGAAGATATTTAACAAGCTTTGGGCCGAAAACCCGCTAAACAATTTACAAATTCTGCAGGTGAACCCAATACAACTTAGATTGGAGATTTTATTCGTTGAATTTATCAAATTCAATTTAAACTAATTAAAATTATTAAATGATATTAACATTAATAAACAAAATAAAACAGGTCCTTCACTTATATAAATGAAGAACATGGAAGCCAAGCAAGTTGGTTTTTTAACTTCCAACCTTAGTTAGCTTTGGAGAAATAATGATCATAACCTGTTTTATGGTTCTGACCAATCTTTCAGCAACATATATGAAAGTTTTGAAATATGAGATATATTAATTTGGTAGGAACATGGACAAGTGATAGTTGAACACCACCTAATAATCTTTCCTAAATTTGGGGCGGAAACTATCATTTAATAAAAGTGAAATTGAATGAACTATACTTAAACATGTAATTATTAGGATAATAAATACTCGTATACCATTACTAAACCCTAAAACTGAAGCAACTTTCTATCCCTGGTGTTAGATGCTGTTAGAACCATTCACTTGTGAAGTTATATGAGATAACGGATTTGGCTTTGAGGCATGGACTTATCACAAACATTTTCAAGGCAATGCGTGTTAGAGAAGGATTTGTCTTTTCTAGATAAAAGTTAAAAAAAAAATACATCCACAGAAGACGTTTGCCCAAACATGTGGATCAACTTTTATACACATGTGCAAGAATGAAGCAGAACATATCAATATGACAGATTCCAATCTACTATCCACATGCTTTCTTAACCCCTCTTTAGGGCAAATTAAACATATACTTCGCTTAATTTGCCCAGGTGTGCCATTTTATCAGCAAGTTTTATGCCTTAAGAAACGGATTTGTTCTTTTCAGTATCAACGTCAATGATAATTGGGCTGAGTCATAAGTTTTCAGCTCCAAAGTCCCATTTCTAGGTTTTTGTTCTCCATAGACTTGTCATATTCATTCATTAGAGTCATATAATAATCACTTTTATTATTATTATTATTATTCATACCATTATATATATATATATTTTTTTTAATATTTTTATGTCATACTTTATGAAATAATATAGTTTTTTATCAAATAAAATATAATTATTTTTATCATATTACTTATTAAGAGATAAAGATAATATAGAAAAACAGATATTATGATATTATACGTTTTAAAAAAAAAGGACTAAACACAAGTATGATATGCATAAAAAAACATTTAACCCATATAAAGAGTGGAAAAAAATAAGTGTGATACATATAAAAAATAAAATAAAATTTAAAAAATTAATAATTTAATCTCAACTTGTAAAAAAATGAATTTAAATTTTTTTATGAAAAAAAAGATTTATGAAGAACTAAAGGGGATATACTTATATTCATCAAAGAAGTAATGGATCCCTCTTGGATTCTCTGTTGATTTTTTTAGTTTTCATTTCAAAAATCTAATTAGAATATTATTTTTATATACATAAATCCAAAACATGAATCATAAAAAGAAAATATTAATTAAAAAAATGAACATGAAAGTATATCTATTTTTCCTAATATTAATAAAATTGGTTGTTAATTTAAGTATTATTCAATATTGTTGTTAATATTTATAAACTCTCAATCAAGATTATCGCAAAATTTAAGTTTTATATTTGATTATTTAATTTTCATAATTTTGAAATTTTTCATATTTTATTGTGATATTTTTTTCAGTTACCAATCCATTAAATAAAT